TACTCCGTATCACCAAGGATCAAGGCCTGATGTTTAGTTTCGTTGACAATCATACCATTGTCATTGTACCATTGATTTGCTTTTTCAACTTCCTTACATATGCATTCTTCAAGTGCAATCAGATCTTTGTCTGAGTAATAAATTTGATGGTTGTCAGTGTACGCATTTAGCTTAGCTCTCTTTATATGATAGAAGAGATCGTTAACAAATATATTAAAAGGAATCGGGCCTAAGACACTACCCTGAGGCACCCAATGCTTAACACTGTTCCATGATGAGAACGCAAATCAACCTCGACTGACTTCCACACGTATTTCTGTGGCAAATGTTATCTGAATTGAATAAAGGCTGATAGTTTCGAAAGAAACTGTTTGGGGCTGCGTCGGTGGGAGTAACGAAATAATTTGGATATATCAACAGAGTTGAAGTGGTAAATTGGCCACCGTAACGATTACAAAAGCTGAACTGAGTTTCGAGCGTTAGCCCTTCGAAACGTTCTGAATTGGGCGAGAGTTGTTGAAAAAATTTGGGAGACTCGGTGCGCTGAACTCCGGGACGAGAGGTCAAGGTTAAAGCCCTGGCTAGGTCACTGTGTTGTTCTTTTCGGTAAAATATAGAAACTCTCTCCATCTAGGGCTATAAACAGCTGCCGGGGAACTGTTAAGAAAACCTGTTGGGGTAACTTGTTATGGACTGACATCCCCCTGAATGCATGACTCGGCAGACTCTAGCATAGAAGAATTTCAAGGAGCGGCAGTCCACTGAGAGCGAGTGGTTTGAGGAAGAGATCCATTCGGATCCGCCATTGCCACTACTGCCCAAACTGACATCCTTTAAAAACAGCAGAGTTCTGTCTGCAAAGAGGACAAGTTGTCCTGCACTCACCGCCTCGCATTCCGAACTGAAACAAACCCTGCCACGAAATATGCGCGAGGCATTCAGAGGCTATGGTGTTTGTCAAGACAACAAGCAAGTGAAGAAGCCGCAGCGATCCATAAGATTTGAGAGCTTGCATTGCGGTTCAGGTTCTCAAGTGCTCCCTGTTTTAACAGGTAGTTGTGCATGGGCTGAGGGTAAACAGAAGATAAGGAAAAAACAATCTTGAAAATAAAGACACTTGGACAAAGATGATTCGAGCTTTTTCGATTTCAATTGTTTTCCTTTTTTTCACGAGATAATTTTCAAGTCATTTTCATGTCTTAAAACTATGTTTAAAGATGAAAACTATTTCTATTAATTCAAGCCCTTCTCTCTGAGGCTCACCCTTTCTCCTCCTGCCCCTCATTTCCACAAATACACGAAGTAACCAAAATGGCAGATTTAACGATATTTCGTCAAAATCGTCAAATCTACCAAGCTGATTTCGCTTTGACGAATTTGACTAAAATTTCCAAAAATCGTCAAATCCATGAACATTCCCACGGTCTGCCGAAAATTCGCCAAAATCGTTAAATCCATGAACATTCCCTCGGTTTGACGAGATTTCGT